TCAAGGGTCTCCCTGTTAGAAAAAGGTCAGAGAGTTCACGCGGGCCTTTCATGTTGAAGAAACTTGAAAGAAAAGGAAAGGAAATGTGTATTTTCAGCTTTAGCTATGATTAAGTGGGCTCAGGCCATGAGAACATTCAGAAGATTTACATGACGTTACATGAAAAGCCAATTAGCCTAACAACTTCCGAAAAATATCTAGCTCAAGAGCACCCATTTATTAGAGCACTTGGAATGTGCCGGCGCTGTGCTAAGCTCTTCCCTAGGACACAGTGATTCATCTCAGCAGCACTCCGACAGAGCAAGGCAGGCCTGGGGAGGATACCCATTTCACCCACGAGCAAACTGAGGCTCAGTCATTTGTCTGGAGTCCCACAGCTAGTAAGTGGCAGAGCAGGGATGGAAACTGGAGACTGCCCAAGTCTAAAGCCAGCGCTCTCTTGCTCTGCCCCTTGAGCCTGGAGGGTCCTAACTTGGTCCTGCATCCAGCACCTGAGAACAACGCAAGTTCACCTGGTTCACCTGCCCGAAAATGAAGCCTTATTAAATCACCAGCTCTGACCTGGTCTGGAGAAGTCCAGAAGACCCTGGGGCTTCCCTGCTGCAGGCCCTCGTCCTGAAACTCCCTAGTAACCTCCAGGGGACAGCCACAGCAGATCCCCCTCATCATCTTGTAGAAGAACTCCAGGGCTGGTGGCTCTGTATGGGATCTGAGTCGGCGTCTAGAACAGGAGGCCTGGGGGGTCCAGAAGACAGATGGCGCAGACTGAGATCTGTCTGGCTCAAGGCAGAGGTTCTAGGCCCTCTTCTCCAGCAAAGGGGTTTGGTCACCCTATACAGACCATGGAATGATTCCCTAATCCTGTCGGTGGCTCCCCCCGTGCAACCTGAGCCACCCAGAAACTCAGGACTCCAGATTGGTGACAGCTTATTGATCAGCATTTGTCCGTCAAGACCACCAAGCAGATAAGGACTCCTTTTGGAATTTCAGGGGACGTAACGGAACATCAGAGCATGGTATTCAGGATGTGGGCTCAGGAGTCAGACGACCTGGGTTTTGAATTCTGGCACCCTCATTTTCGAGTTGTAAGGACTTAAGTGACTTATCTCTGAGCTTCAGGTTCCTCATTAGTAAAATGAGGATAATGAGTCCCTGTGTCATAGGGCTGGCCTGAAGATTAAATGAGCTAATGTGTGTGAAGCTCTTGACAGGATGCCTGGCACATAGCAATCACGCAGTATGTGAGGTCACTGAGCAGATAATGATGGAATCAGTGCTGACCAGGCAAGGGGCTCCTGCTGGGCTGACCCATCTTTTGGGGAACGAGCCCAGGTCCTGTGTCCCTCCAGCTCTCCAAGCCCTCCTGAGCTTTCCAGGCCCAGATGAATACTGCCTCCTCCAGAAAGCCATGCTGACTAGTCCACACTGATCTCACCGTACTTGAGCTCTTTCTGCCTGCTGTCCGTACAGACTAATCCAACACATAACTCGGCTCTAGTAATTTCTCAGCTTCTCAACCCTGCCAATGGCTCCCGAGGGCAGGACACCTCTACCCTTCCTCGCTGCACAGCCTGAGCCCAGCGCTAGGTACAAAGTAGATGATCCCTCAACAAACCTTCAGATGGGTTTCAGTGTGGCTGCATCTCAGCCCTGCTTCCCCCCTCCCTTATCTGTCCTCCCCCCTGTTCTCCCTACTCGCCCACACACTCCTCTGGTTCTACCCGGCAGGGTGAAGAGTTAGAGTCATGACCCCCAGGACGGCGGTTCCCAGCCTTTGGGATTTCACAGCCTTATAAAATGTGCAAAGAAATTTGAGGATCAGAGTGAACAGATGAGAAAAAATGTCTGTATTTTCTCTTGCCAAATAAGGACATCTAAAAAAAAATCTATTTTCACCATCATTTCAGTTAAAAAAAAAAGGCCATTTTCACACCAATAAAGCAAAAAAAAAAAAAGACTATTTTCACACCAATAAAGCAGTAAGGCCGTAATCTTTGATTAAAGCCTAACACCAAGCTGAAAAAATTTAACCTTATTGAGAAAAGAAAAACAAACACAAAAACAAACCACCTCACTGTTGCCCCAACTTCTCCCCTTTCTTCATGGACTGGAAAAAGTTTCAATCCCTACTGACCTGTGTCCACAGGGAACTCATGGATCTGGGGACATCTATTCTGGAGGAGGCTCCTGCTAAACTGGGGTCGCCCACAAACACAGGAACACCCCTGAATGAGTTAGGCAGACCTGTGTTCCCATCAGCTTTCCCAGAGGAGGCTCATCCCAAAGCCAGGCCCTATAACCTCAGGGGCTGCGGTGGCGGAGGCCCTGGGCCCCTGTCCCTGTGCTTCTTCTCCTCTGGCAGGGCCGCATTTGGCTGGAGCCTCCTCCCCCAACCTGGAGCCTACGCTCACACCTGGGGGAAGGACGCGGGAGAGACCTAATGGGCAAGGGTCTTCCCCGCATCTCCCTTGCCAACCTGGGCACTAGTGCCCACCCCACCCTCGGGAAGGGAGAAAGTGGGCACCCTAGCCCGGAGGTGGCGGCGGGGGCGGGGGGACGGTCCCAAGCGCCCCGCTGGGCGGGCGCAGATAGCATCTGAACACAGAGAAGCTCGGCCTTAGCTCTTTGATCCTCAGCCAGCCAGGCTGGGCCTGGACCGGGAGGGCGGTGCGGCTGTCTTCCGGCCTGGCCTTGCGCGGCTGCCAGGGGTCCCGTGGGGCCCTGAGCGGGAGAGGCGTCCAATACCCAGCCCTCCCCCCAGTACTCTCTGTCCCAATTGCTCTCAGAAGAGATGGGGGCGTCTACACTGAATCCAGCACAGAAACCTGCTGGGGGGGCTGTGGTTTACTGCACCACGATCCAAAGGGCTGGCGTCTCTTGCAGATAGAGTGGCTGAGCACGTGGGGGATGCCCGCGTGGATGCGGCCCCGGGGGCCGTGTAGATGCGATGGAAGGTAGAGCACGCTCCCGCGCTCGGAAACCCGGTCCCTTCAGCCTGGATCTCGCGAGGGGCCGCTGCGCCAGGCTAGGGCAAGGTCAGAGTCAATGAGCTCCCTAAAAGCTACTTCCCAGGTCGAGTCCTGCGGCCCACGTGGCGGCTGCCCAAAGCCCCGAGTTCCCAGGCCGCAGGTTCTAGGCACAGAACTGAGTTGGGAGAGTCGTAGAGGGGTGTGGCTGGGGGATGGGCAAGGAGGGCGGAGGTCCTTCCTCCTCGTCCTCGTGGCTGTTCGCTCCTCAGAGCCGTCGCACGGCAGAGGGGCCAGTCACAGATGTATGGTTTATGAGCTCTGCGTGCAACACGCTCCGTAACTGAGCGAGGGGCGCACGCTCGTGTTCGCGGGCGGCCTGCAAGGAGGTCGCGGATTGGCACAGGGGCGGAGGGTGGGGCAGAGAACTGTGCTTTGAGGCGGCCTCACCCTGCTGGTTCCCAGGGGTCCGCACACAGCCTCGAGCAGCCGCAAGTCCCAGACAGTTCCCAGTTCAAAGCACCGGGCGCCCGGCCCAGCTCACCGCGGCTCCTCTAAGCCCCGCCCACGTCCCACGGGCCTGGCGGACCTGCGCCCTCCGCAGCTGGAGGGAAAGCTGGGCGCGGGGCAGGAATATCTAGTTGTAGGTGAGGCTGTGGGACCGGGGTTTCCTTTCGAGTCCCCGCATTTCAGGAGAAGGATGACGATTTTCAGGCTCGTCCGACGTCTCGCTCGCAGTTCGCTCCGGGAGAGCGAGCCCTTTAAGACCGTGCCCGGTGGGCGCGTCCCGGCCTCCCGGGGAAGGAGGGGGCGGGGACTGGACTCTCCGCCCCCGCCCATTGGTCGGGGCCCGCCCCGGCCCGCCCGCCCCGCCCCCGGCACTCCGCCGGCGGCGCCTTTGATGTTCGGACCCGGCGGCTCCCGGAGCCGCTCTGCCCGCGCCCTCGCCCCGCGCCCGCCGCCCGCCCAGGCGGAGTC